AAAAATAAATAATTATATACTAAAATAAATTTTAATTATAATTATAACATAATATAATTTAACATAATCATAACTACATTTACAATCTTAATATCTCACAATAATCCCAACCGCGCCCTCAAACTAGTCTCATCTGAGCACTCATTATTCCCTAAAATGACCATAATCTGTGGAAATGACCCATTTCGCACTCCAAAAGTAAATAAAGTAAGCCACGGGCTGGGGACGCCCCCTCAAGTTTTAAAAATTTTTGCAAATTTAGTACATAAATTATTATTTTTTACCTCTTAAAACTTTTAAATATTACAATTATCATATAAAACTTTAAATTATTATTATTTAACCCTTTATAATTTTTATAATTTTTATAATTTTGCACACTTAACAACTTGAGACTAATATGAATTATAGTTTTTTTGTTATAACCATCATTTCAAATATGGAGAGAACTTTAGCATTTAATTTTTTTTTTTATTTTGATCATTTTGGCAAGGGATGGGCTTCGAACCCGCCCAAAGGAGGGGGGCAGTGCACCATCAATCTGGTTAATGCTAGTTGGCCTATTGGCTCAGGTGCAACTTTAGCATTTAATTAAATATTTTACGAAAGATGAGAAATTATAGCCTAAATAAATAAATTTCCAATATATAAAAAATAAATTACGAATTAAGACTCTTAATTAAACCCAATCTCAAAGATCTTCTTCCTTTAATTTTTAAAATTGTTTTAGAATTTTATTTTTAAATTTTTGTCATTTATTTTAGAAAGTGTTTTGATTAATGAAAAGAAGATAATTTTTAATAGGCAAATTAAAAAAAATAAATATTTTAAGATAAAAAAATAATATTTTGAAGTTATTTGAATTATCTAATTTATTGTTTAAGTGTTATCATGTGACATTGTTTTTTATTTTAATAAAACTATTTTTTTAATAAAAAAATTATTAAAAATAAAAAATAAAAAATATATTCATTTCGTAATTTTATTAAAATTCTAAAAAATATTAAATAAAACTATTATTTTAATAAAAAAATTATTAAAAATAAAAAATAAAAAATATATTCATTTCGTAATTTTATTAAAATTCTAAAAAATATTAATGACAAAAATTATCAAAATTAAAAATTTTATAACAATTATTAATTAATATTAATATAAAATATACCCGAAACACAAGTGGTGAAGAAAGAATTCCGCCTACTCAATTTTCTGACTTTTCCACTGAAGAAAGCATTGACGTCAACCAAAACAAGCAATCATTCAATCTCCAACTTTATCTTTTTCCCCGAACCAACCAAGGCGCGTTCCCAGCAACTACCCTTACTGTCTCCTCTTTCCACACCCCAGACACTTCCTCTATATAAACAGAGACAACCCTTAGTTAACACATCCAGAACAAAACCTCTTAAGCAATTCAGAGGTTCCTCTCAAGTCCGAAGCAGCTTCCAGCCTCCTTAAAATTGAAAAACAGGGGAGCCTCTTTCTTTCCCCTGTCTATATCTCAAGTAGTCTCAACAAAACAACAACACCAACACCATCACCATCACCATCACCATCACCATCACCATGAAGGTATGTATATATCATCAGTATCCATGATATATTTAATTTTGCATCAATCAATCAAGTATTCAAATTCTCTCTTTCGATTTATGCAGCAAAAGATGGCAATTAAGGTTTCGATGAACGGGCAGAAATCCCGATCAAAGGCCATGAAGATTGTAGTAGGACTTCCTGGTAAGAACAAAATCTAATTAATTCCTTCGTAACTTTACCTTTTCTTGTTAGTCTAGAGCACATATTACGAATTCGATATAAATTTGATGAATTGATGTATAGGTGTGGAGTCGGCCGCTTTGAAAGGCGACGATAAGACCCAGATTGAGGTGACGGGAGATGGAGTTGACGCAGCTCAGCTAACGATGTTGCTGAGAAAGAAAGTGGGATTTGCGGAGTTAGTGAGCGTGACTGCTGTGGGAGGAGAAAAGAAAGAGGAGAAGAAAGAGGATAAGAAAGAAGATCCCAAGGCGCAGCCTCTGGTTTGGCCATCTACAACGCCTTATTATATCTATGAGGTACCACCGACGAGCCAGTACCATGACCCCTGCTCCATCATGTGAAAGAAAGATTATGCATCTATGTTAATTAGCAATAAAGATTGAAAAATTAATATATGGAAATGTTTTTTTTTTTTATGTGTACTTGTTTGTTTTTTTTTTTTAAATATTTTAATTATGAAGTAGGTTCGAACCATTTCTCTTGAAGAGAAGATATGAATTTTACAAGAATAATAAGAATCACTTGATCCACAGGATCAATATGTACTAGTTTATTTAATCTTATAAAAGATAAGATATTGTATTTTGATTACTAAATCAACACATATATAATAACAAAATTTTAATATTCACAAAACAATAATTTACTTTTCACTTCAAGAGATAGTTATTAAGCAGCTTAACAATACCCTTCAAAGTCATTTTGTCCCTCCATATGATCATGGGCATATTTGCATTTTCCTTAACATACAAGCTTCTCATCATTGATGAGTTATCATCAATAGCTCCACAGTTTCACTCTTCTCTTGCTGACGATATAAAATGCCCTATGGTTTCACAGAAGCTATTGCATGTTATAAGTTTTTTTTTTTCCTTTCTTTTTTTGACAATAAAAAATTTTAAGTTAGATATCTATTTTTTAAAAGAGTCAAACTTATGATCAGTGTACATTTTATCTGCTGCTCAATAAACAGCATGACCACCATTGGATCAGATGGATTGAGCATGCTATAAGTCTTTCAATAGAACAATCCTTGAATCTATGACATTGCTTAAGAATTACTTCTAGTTTGGTGCAAATAATTCAAGTATTTCTTAAAACATTCCTATCCTGACAATTGTTGGGATTAGGCCCAACACCCGCTTAGGGCCGCTTGTAGCAGGCCCAACTACACACCCACAAGCCCGAGAGGAGGAGAAATACCCATGTGGGCATTACCACGTGGACCTATGAGAGGCTTACATGTGCAGATGTTTGTCAGCACTTGGGGCTATAAATACCCCCCAACTACCTCCAAAGAAGGTAATTAATCTCTACGCTTCTCTCTCTGCAATTACTCCTTGAAAGCATCTCTCTCTAGAATATCGAGTATTGCTGACTTGAGCGTTGGAGTGTTTTCTCCGAGGAAACAACCTCGGGATTTTCAGGTGTAGAAGCAGCTGAGGATTTCAACAGTGTTGGACTGCGAAGCTACCCAAACATTTGGCGCCATCTGTGGGAAACTAAACAAGAAGCTGTGTAGCTTAACTTGCTGAAAGACAAGATGGTTCGTATTTTTACAGGAGGTTGCCCTCCAAGAAATGAAATGGACGAACAGGAGGACGTTCAACTATCTGAGCTCGGCTTGAATGACTTTAGGCCAATGCCAAGAAACCTTTTCGTCGGAGGAGCAGAACAGGATCACCTAAGTGAAACGGACGACGATGAAAGAACACCAACTGGGTACGCAACTCAGCCTAAACCGTTCCAAGGTCCAACAGGAACGAGACAGAGACATTCTAGACCATACAATTCACAGCATGAACGACCTGAAAGGTCAACAGAACCTGCTCGGACAACCGAGCTTAAAGAGAGAACCAGAGTTCTCAAAATGGCAATGGGTAAAATCCTTGCCCGCCTGATCCCCGATGATCCCCTGATTCCTTTGTTGAACAGGGATGCACAAGGTTGTTGCCACTCGAAACTCCTCCGCTCTGAGCAATGTAGTAGTGCCGACCAAACCAAGGGGAAGCGGAAGGTTGAACAACGAGCCTAGCTCATCAAAACACAGCGAAGAACTGATAAGAAAGAATGTAGACCTTGAAAGGCAGCTACGGGACGTACAGAAATCCATCGACGAGCTGAAAAGCCCCAGGTCGCATCAACAAACCCTTGATTTAGATAGTGCCCCGCTGAACCTATCCATCACAGCGGAACCGTATCAAGAGGGGTTCAAAATCCCCCATTTAGAGACATATGATGGCTCAGGTGACCCAGATGAACACCTGCACACCTATCAGGCCATCATGAGAATCCAAAATGCCAACGATGCCATGATGTGCAAAGTGTTCCCAACGACCCTGAAGTCAACGGCAAGAAGATGGTATCATAAACTCCCCAAACACTCTATAGATTCTTACTCCCAGCTTGCCAAGCTATTCTCCAACAAATTTGCGAGCCAAAGGGAGATTAAACGCACAGCGACCGAGATGATGAAGTTCACCAGAAATAGGGGGAATCTTTGAGGGACTACATGCAGTGATTTAACAAAGCCACTTTGGACATCGATAACATCCCTGATACCATCTGTTTGTCTACCTTGCTGCATGGTCTGAAACATGGCCAGTTCCTAGATGACCTGTCGGAAAATCCACCAAAGACGTGGAACGAAGTCAATGACAGGTCGGCTAGCTTCATACTGTCAGAAGACTTCCAGTCGTCAAAGCGAGGAGCTGATGACAAACAGAGCAAAGGCAATGAGCAGCTACCAAGGAGGGAGGAAAAGAAAAAGCAGAAACTCAATGAACCATGGGGGAAACCAGCTGAATTCCCGAAATATGCTAACTACATCCCTCTGACCTTGCCGAGGTCTCAAATCCTGGCACAAATACAGCACTGGATTAGAAGACCCCCGCCCCCATTGCACGATTCTCCGAGAGTAGATAAAAGTAAACATTGTGACTACCATCGTGTGTACGGTCACAACACAGAGGAATGCTAGCATTTAAAGGACGAGCTGGAGTTCTTAGCTTGCAATGGGAAATTAGAAGGATATGTCCAGAAGCCTCATACCCAACAACCACCTCAAACTCACTTCGTGCAGGGGTATGACCGACCTCAGGGGCAGAGGTACCAGCTCGGCAATGCTCAGGACGTTTATTATGATAATCCATATCCTTCTGAGCAAGGCAAAGCGAACAGGGGCCGTCAGTTCAATAGGCGAGGCCAAGGGTAGAGAGTTGCCGCCCAGAACCAGAAAGACAAGAAAGGGGTAGGCTATGCTAGGATACCTCCACCCTCAAGCACAATAAACATGATCTCGGGTGGTATGCATTCCGGAGGCCAAAGCGCTCGAGGCCGTAAGGCGTATGCCCGGCAGGTGATGACCGTTGACAAGAACAGACCTTTGAAGCGGCCGTTCGAGGAGGCGGAGTGGGAGAATGCAACCATCACATTCAGCCCAGCAGATTATAAGCGAGCAGACGGAGAGCTAGACGTTATGATGCCTCACGTAGATCCATTTGTGGCGACGGCCCATATAGGCAATCATAATGTCAACAAGGTCTTTATTGATACGGGTAGCTTGCCAGATATCCTTTATTGGAGCTGCTTACAAAAGATGCAGTTGAAGCCGAGCTCGCTACAAAAATATGAAGGACCCATCTATGGGTTCAATAATCAGCTCGTCCCGGTAGAAGGAGTTATTACCCTTCCCATCTATGTGGGCTCAGAACCACGGTTCAGGATGGCTTCCGTTACTGTCCTGGTTGTCAAGATGGAGTCAACTTTCAATGCTATATTGGGAAGAGCCACCCTTTGCGAGTTGAAGACCATTATTTCTCAACCCCATCTTTGTATGAAATTCCCAACTCCTAAGGGGGTAGGAGTACTTAAGGGGAACCAGAAAATGGCCAGAGCCTGTTATCAAGATACGTTCAAGAAGGTTGACCTCGCTGCAACACCGGCAGGTTTTGAGAATCAAAGGCCAACTCAGCCCGGTCAGCAGACAATGAGCATATCAAACATCGAGCATCGACCTGAGGGTGTCGAGCAGAAGGCAGAGCCGGTGGAGCCAGTAGAAACAGTCCCTCTAGACCCTGATGTGCCAGAAAGGACGGTTAAGATCGGCACCAAGCTCACAGAAGAAGAACGGGCAGAGCTACTGGAATTTCTGAGGGTTAATCAGGATGTGTTTGCGTGGACTGCGGATGAAATGCCTAGCATCCCAACAGAATTGACAGTCCACAAGCTCAGCACAGACCCCACTAGAAAGCCGATGGTTCAGAAGCATCGCCTTTTTGGCCCTGAGAAGCAAGCTGCCACAGATGAAGAAATACAAAAGCTGCTACAGGCAGGCTTCATCATAAGATTCGAATACTCTGAGTGGGTGTCCAATCCGGTGCTAGTTAAAAAATCGAATGGCAAGTGGAGGATGTGTATTGATTTCACCAATTTGAATGAGGTGTGTCCAAAAGACCCTCATCCCTTGCCAAATGTTGAAAAGTTAGTAGAGCGGGCAGCCAGACACGAACGGATGAGCTTTCTTGATGCCAACTCGGGTTATCACCAGGTCCAGCTATTGTTAGACGACCAGGAGAAAACAGCTTTTTACGTTGGTGATGCAATCTATTGCTATGTGATGATGCCCTTTGACCTAAAAAATGCTGGCGCTACATATCAAAAGCTGGTACAAATCATCTTTAAGCTCCAGATCGGCAGAAACATAGAAGTGTATGTGGATGACATGATAGTCACCAGCGTGCGAGCTGAGGATCATATAGACGACCTAAGTGAGACCTTTCAAAATTTGCGTCGGGCCCAAATGAAGCTGAATCCCCTGAAGTGCACGTTCGCTGTAGAATCAGGAAAATTCCTAGGGTACGTGGTATCCAAGAAAGGAATTGAAGTGAACCCAGAGAAGGTTCTGGTCGTTCAGCAGATGGAGCCTCCCAAGACTGTAAAGGATGTGCAGCGCCTGACAGGTCGTGTAACCGCGTTGCACAGATTCATAGCTAGGTCGGCAAAAAGGTGCCTACCGTTTTTCAAAGCCTTGCGAGAGCCCAAGCACTTTCAATGGATCGACGAGTGTCAACGGGCGTTCGACGAGCTCAAGCAGTATCTGGCATCTGCACCCCTACTGTCCAAGCTTGTGGAAGGGGAGAGTTTATACGTATACATGGGGGTTACAGGAGAGGCAGTGAGCTCAGTCTTGCTCAAGGAAGAGAACAAGAATCAGAAGCCTATCTGCTACGTGAATAAGGTTTTACAAGGTGTAGAGCAGAACTACCCATTAGCAGAAAAAACTGCCTTTGCCTTGGTTTACACAGCTTGTAAGTTGAGGGCTTACTTCCAATCACATCAGATTGTTGTCTATACCGACTTGCCATTGAGAAAAATACTGCAAAAACCTGAACTCTCTGGTCGGCTTATTGGATGGAGCGTCGAGTTGAGTGAATATGACCTCAAATTTCAGCCGCGCACAACCATAAAAGGCTAGGCCGTTGCAGACTTTCTGGTGGAGTGCATCTCAGCGACTAAAGAAGAAAAAGCACCCGAACACCCAGTCTGGGTTTTGCATGTTGATGGAGCTGCTAACGTTGAAGGATTGGGTGCTGGGGCTATGTTAGTGGGCCCAGACGGCTTTAAGTCTAAGCACGCACTGAGGTTTAAGTTTCAGACGACTAATAACATTGCAGAATATGAAGCCCTCATTTACGGATTGAAGCCCTCATTTACGGATTGAAGCTGGCGTCCGAGCTAAAGGTGCAAAGCATTCAGGTGCAAAGCATTCAGGTTTTCAGCGACTCTCAGCTCGTTGTGGGCCAGGTGAATGGCAGTTGTGAAATCAGGGATCCCCAGCTCGGTCGTTATGCCTCTGTGGTCAATAGATTGAAGTCAATGTTTGTCTTTTTCCAAATTGATAAAATACCAAAAGCAGACAACCACCGAGTTGACGAGCTGTCAAAGTTGGCCTCCTCACAGGACCTTAACCCTCAGAGATCGACGATTGTCGAGGTGCTTGACGCCCCGAGCTACACCGATCTCACAGTTAAATGCCAGATGCTAAGCACAGATCCCTCCTCACCAAGCTGGACTACCTCGCTCATTAATTATCTGCGAAGTGGCGAGCTACCTGAAGATTCATCCGCTGCAAAGTTGGTCAGACGCAGAGCGGCACATTTCACTTTGATAGATAATCAGCTTTACAAACGAGTAGCCTCAATGCCCCTGTTACGTTGCCTTACTCCTTATGAAGCTAAGTACGTCGTGAGGGAAGTTCATGAAGGAGTATGTGGTACACACATAGGAGGCAAGACTTTAGCTCGAAAACTCCTTAGGCAGGGATATTACTGGCCAACTATGGTTGAAGACGCACAGAATTATGTCAAGAAGTGCCCAACCTACCAGTTCAATGCTGACGATATCCACATGCCAGGTATCCGAGCTCATTCTACAGTTTATTCTAACCTAGTGACTGCCTATAAACTGAGCATAAGTACCTTCCTCGAAACAGGGGAAATGCTATCATCTCTTACGTCTCCCTGGCCTTTTGCTCAATGGGGAGTCGACCTGCTCGACCCTTTCGTGAAAGGCAAAGGAGGATGCACCTAACTCATTGTCGCGGTAGATTATTTCACCAAGTGGATAGAAGCTAACCCATTGTCCACGACAACAGAAAGGAAAATAAAAGAATTCTTGTTTAACTCAATACTATGCAGGTATTTTTCGGTGACTTAAGCTACTGGCGCATTATATATAATCATAATTTGTGGCTCAGCTCGAACATCTGTTTCTAGGTTCGGCATACCTAAACAGATCATAGCTGACAATGGTCCGCAGTTTCGAGCCACAACACTGAGGTCATTCTGCAATGATTATGGAATTGAGCTCGCCTTGACATCTGTGTATACTCCACAATCCAATGGGCAAGCCGAGTCCGCCAATAAAATCGTCTTGCGTGGCCTCAAGACACGTGTTTTGGCTGCACATACTAATTGGGTTGACGAGCTCAATAAAGTGCTTTGGTTATGTCGCACTACACCCAGCTCAGCCACAGGCGACACCTCGTTTAGCCTGGCATATGGAGCTGAGGCCGTCATCCCTGTCGAGGCCGGATTGTCATCTGATAGATCAGATCGTCATGATGATCATGATAATGGGCAACTCTTAAGAGAGATCCTTGACCTAATGGAGGAAGTCAGGGAGATGGCTCGAATTAGAAACATGGCGCACCAAAGTCGTGTTGCAAAGTTTTATAACAAAAGAGTTCGAGCTCATCAGTTTCAGGTCGGCGATCTAGTTCTGCGTAAAGCTGGATTAACTAATACTTATTCGCACATGGGCAAGTTCGCTCCTAATTGGGAAGGCCCTTATATGGTTATTAATATTAAGCGACCTGGGTGTTACTAACTAGCAGATTTACAAGGTCGTCCGTTACCATTTATCTGAAACATACACAACCTTAGAAAGTTTTACAGTTAACATTTTGATGTTATTGTCTTAATTCAAATTATCGTCAATCAAATGTAAAAAGCATGTATAGAACAGTACAAAGCAATATACACAGAAATCTTGAAACAAAAGATTCGAATTTGTATTTCATCAATGAATTTTTACATGTGTAGTACATATGGTAAATGAGTTCATTGATTAACACAAAAATACAAAAAGAAATACAAAAAAGAGAGCAAAAAATCCTAAGCTAATCGTCCGTCAGGTCGATGGAGATGGATGCGTTGTTAGGCTCCGAAGTTGACCGAGCAGGAGATGGCCGATCTGGAGGAGAAGGAGCAGAAACAGCGACTGCAGCGGGCTGAGGCTGAGGCTGAGCAGAGGGGGGAGTGCTGGAAGGCTCAACAGGCACATCATGGGGGTTTGCCACCCAAGCCTCAAAACTTGGCAACCCCTCCGTGTCCTCCCCCTCTTCGATGACAGAAGGGGGCCACACGGGCAGCCCCTCTTCGTTGAGCTCCCATCTCAGCCTCACCCAGGTGTCAGAGGGTTGTGCAAGGCTCTTCCCTTCTGCGTTAATCTCCTCACCCTCAAAGAAAGCCAGCTCGCCGATGGGAAAATCAGCCCGAACTTGCAGCACCATCCCTTGAACCTCGTTGAAAATGTCTGTGGTGGTGTTGGCAGAGGCGATTGCAACGGCGTCCTGGAACATCTCTGCTCCCACTAGCCACTCTGCCCCCTGTGCACGGGCAAAGCAGATGTCGCGCTGGTGAAGCCTCTTGGTGCTCTCCAGGGACGCTTCTGCTCGGGCGACGTGCTGGTCGGCTTTGAACGCCCTTTCTCTCAAGGCACTCAGCTCATGCAGGGTCTTCTCTCTCTCTGACTCTGCCTTCCTAGCTCGTTCCTCTGCATGGCTGAGCTCCTCCTTTGCAGCCTGGATGCTAGTGTCCTTCTCCACCTAAGCCCGTTGGAGCTCCTCCTTCAGCTCGTCTACCTTACGGGCTAACTCATCAACTCTGCTCTCGGCTGACGCTGCCCGGTTAGCCATCTCCGAGCTTTGTAAATGATTGACCTCGTCAGCCAAACTGGCTTTTTCAAAGGCCAGTTGCTTACAGCTATGCTCTAGCTCGCGGTTCTATGCCCGAGCTCCCTGCTCGCACTCGAAGAGTGCGATAGTGTAGCTGAACACCTGCAATACATGTTCACTCGTCAATTTATAGCAAAAACATGATAAAATGCAATAATGAGCACGGCAAGTATACTTACATCCATTAGCTTTATTAAAACAGCATGTCCTCCATGCTGCTAAACGTGCCCCTTTGCACGCAGCCGGTCTACAGGGGGCACAAAGTTCTGCATACCCTGCAGCATAGCGGTCTAGTACTCAGTCCGGACGTAACTGAAGCAGTCCGGGTATGCGATCCTTGGCCCCGTCACAGACGACGAGGCTGGTGCGGCCTCAGCAACCTCGCGAACTGGCGCTTGGGGCACGCTGGCAGGTCACACAACGGCAGCAAGGGCGGGCTGCAAGCCAGTACTTGTCCTCCACCGGATGAGTGGAACGTCGTCCTCTGCATCGGAGTCCTCCCGCACGCGCCTTCTTGAGCTTGAGGGCACAGGCTCTGCTCGTTGCTCGACACGCGGCCTCTGTGCCGAGCTGGAACTCTGGTGCTGAGAGCTGTGCCCCGGTGCAGCAGGTGCCCGCTCGTCAAAGCGGGACTGACGATGGGAACCAGACCCAGCTCCTTAGCTCCTTGAGCCTTGAGCTCGCTGACGTTGCCTCTCAAGGATGTTGCTCATTTCTCCTACATAAACAAAGGCATAAGACTCAGATCGGCTACAAACTATACTATACTATAAAATATACCTTGAGAGTGTAGGTTTGCCACGTCGACAAACCCACGAAGTGCGATCTGCTCCGGGGTAACCAAGGCTTCCAAATCCACCAACCCCCTCGCCTTCACATAGTTGAGCAACCGGTTCTTCAGCTCAACATCACCAATTGTCAACTGAGGATAGTTCATGTATGTGTTCGACGTACGCTACTCTGACAGCCGAGTGGTGAGCTCGTTATTAATCCTCTCAGTTCGTGTATCGCGGATGAAAATGAACTGTCTCTTCCACCTCGCCACTTTATTTCTGATGTTGGTGAAAATCATCATCTTCTCTCTCCCAGAGATGTAATACCATCTCATACCGTTGGTGGAGGGACACAGCCGGCACAAGAAGAGTGACTTGAAAACCACCGCCCTTGCAGACATCCCCAACCTTTCGCACAACAGCATAAAGTTTATCATAGGCTTTATGCTGTTGGGAGTAAGTTGCGAAAGGGCCAGCTCGTACTCTGCTAGGACGTCAAAAATTAGTCCGAGCAGAGGAAAACGTAGACCGATGTCGAAGTGGTCTACATATACTGGCACCCAGCCCGTCCTCGATACTGAACACGCCCTTTCATTTGGTGTTCCAGCTCGGATCAGGATGGTTTTGGGGATCTAGAACCGCCTCACCATCTCTTCCAGCTTCTTATATCCCTTCACTGTGGCCGCATCATCTGCAACCTCGTGGTGCAGCACCGCCTTGAACTTGAAGCCGGCCGGGAGGGTTTTTGGAGCCTTACAAAGATTGTCCAGTTGTCCACTCAAAACCTTGCTCTCCCACCCTTCGAACACCGCCACCTCCACTGCTGCACTCGTCACCGGTGCATTGCAGCCAACCTCCTCAACACCCTCCGCTCCACTGGGTGTCTCTTCCGTGGGCGAATCACAAGAGGTTGACGACCGGTGGCTCTCAGAACCACCACCCACGCTTGAACTGGGGCTACTCTCCGGCATGGTGGTTCTGGGCGAATCCTGCAACTCCGGCGGCACTATCATCGCGATAGGCTCCACGGATATCACATCAACCTCTTCGTCTTCACCTTGGTTACCCCGGAACTCTTGTGCATCATGGAAAGAAGCCATTTTTACCTGGGTAGTTGAAGGTGAATGTGCTTTCACTGGAAGTCTTGAAAAATGGCCAAGAGTGTCTCTGCAATCTCCTCTGAAAAACGTACGAATGTGTTGTGCAATGAAATGAAAAAATGACAAAGTGTTTGTTTTGTTTTGGGCGTTCAGATGGTGCTCCGTAAACACCATACGCGTGTTTACGGCCCCCCAGTTAAGCGTGTCCACGTAGCAACCATTTATGATTAAAAACCCAAAATACGCCGTCTGCAACTGTCACGTCCCCTCAAATGCTGAGCCAACATTTATTGCGGGGAGGCAAAAGGGTATCTGTCAAAAGCAGAGGAATACCAAACGCCCTGAGCAAATATTCTTAGAGATTTGCCATGATTCAAATTTCGAAAAATCTCAAGGATCAAATCGTGCATAATCTCAGGGATCAGCTCGTGCATAATCTCAGGGATCAGCTCATTGCAAATTCGGGATTTATCTAGATCTACCGTAATTCAAAATTTGAAAATCTCGAGAAATCAGCTCGTTCCTAATCAGAAATCTCTTCAGAGAATCCCAACTCAATAAGTCTTTAGAGGCCAGGGCGTTACAAATCTTGGGTTCACCCCGGTTGTGAGCATCGAACGTTAAGATGTAACCCACTTCCTCAGATTTGCCTTGCATCCCAGAGGTTTATATTGAAATAGCGTCGGAGGTTGCTCATTTCAGCCCGTCATGGGTGGTTGGTTCAGCTCGTTCGCTGCCTACTCACCTTTGCTCCCTTCAGAGAATTCATTATGCACGGTCACCCTTGTACGCCTGCTCGTCTTGTTGATTAGCACCAAGCTTGACTGGTTTTAGCCTCAGCTCTTCATTCCTGCTCGGCATGAATCTGGCGTACACCTGCACAATCAGCTGTGCATGACGTCTTCAAACCGCTCAGGTCGTTCATGTATGAGGTCGATCATGAACGCAGAACATCACTCCTCATCCTCCAGGTCGAACACCTTGCTTGCTAGCGAGACTCTCAGCCCAGTTCGTCAACCGAACACCGAGGGGGAGTAATGTTGGGATTAGGCCCAACACCCACTTAGGGCCGCCTGTAGCAGGCCCAACTACACACCCACAAGCCCGAGAGGAAGAGACATACCCATGTGGGCATTACCACGTGGACCTATGAGAGGCTTACATGTGTAGATGCTTGTCAGCACTTGGGGCTATAAATACCCCCCAACTACCTCTAAAAAAGGTAATTAATCTCTATGCTTCTCTTTCTGCAATTACTCCTTGAGAGCATCTCTCTCTAGAATATCAAGTATTGCTGACTTGAGCGTCGGAGTGTTTTCCCCGAGGAAACAACCTCAGGATTTTCAAGTGTAAAAGCAACTGAGGATTTCAACAATGTTGGACTGCGAAGCTGCCCAAACAACAACGAAAGAAAAAAGGCCCAAAGGAAATAAGACAAAAAATTAGGGATAGGATCAAATTTCCTTGTCAATCCTCTTCGTAGAATCATCATGTCAGAGGTTGATAAGGATGGAATTTGAGATGAAGGGAGTTAATTTTGTCTACTTCAGATCAATGGTTGGGGAGAAAAGATGTCGATTTGGACGATCGAGATGAGAAAAAGGGTATAGGGCTAGGGCTTCGCTTTGATTTTTGTATAAATAAAGGGATGAGCAGAGAAGAGGAAGATTTGTTTTTTTGGGGGAGGCCGTTTGGGGAGAAGGAAAGCCGAGAGAAAAAAAAAAAAGAAAAGAGAAGCAGCAGACAGAAGGCTTAGGGAGAATTCCAGCCTAATTTTCGTGCTATCTCGGTGATTCTTCCGGTGATCATTCTGCTTATTTCCACTGTTTTCCCGTGGGTATGATTTTTCAAATCTGAAAGCATAAGGGCATAATCTAGCTGTTTGGCCTCCAGGACTACCCAAAATGGGGCAAAAGGTACCCATTTGCCCCTTAACTTTTCGACTTTTAGGGTTTTTGCCCTCCATATTACAATACATGAATTTTTACCCTCAACGTTTTCGAGTTGAGGAAATGAAGCAAAATTTAACGCCGGAATGTCACGTGTAGCACGTGCACCGTTGTCCTCCATCAAGTATGCACATATCAATGCCACCTCAGACTTTTTTTTGACAACTTGACATGCCAACTTGGACCCAAGGTTTCAAAAAAAAAAAAAAAACAGATGAATGCTAGGAAACCGTCTGACTATTCACTTTCCTCTTCCCTTCTTCAACCATTTCTTCAACTTCTGCAAATCTCTAACATCTCAACCAATCTATTCACT